AAGCCCTGTCTGAGAGGGCTGTGGAAGACATGGGAGTGGCAGGAACCTCTGCCACAGCAAGTTCCACCCAGGATTTGAGGCCCCACTTCTGGTTCACATAGTCACTGCACAGGAATTCTCAATGAGTGTCTAGTCACCATTCTCAGGTCCTAAAGCAGAGTGCTCAACAGAAACTGCTGGGATAGGAAGCTCAGATCTGATAGGTTAGAGAATAAAAGGAAAGCATAAGAAGAAAAGAAGATACTAGGTGACACATGAAATGGTAGAGGACAGGGAAGCAGTTAGTTTAACAACACCATGGCCCTGCAAGGCTCAGTAACTATTAGAGAAACTTGTCCATAGTCGCACTGCTTTTATGCCTACTCTGAAGATGATACAGTTGGGAGCTCTCCTGAAGCATTTCGGAAGCTACTGTGGAAATCAAAAGCACTCACAATCCCACCTGGCAATTTAATTGTCATCCATTCACTCATCTAAGCTTTCCAGAGAGTCTACCATGGGCCAGGCCTAAGACCACAAGAAAAGGTAGTTAGAAAAGTCCAGGTGGGCTGGCATTGACAGAAAGTCACCCAAGGACAGGAGGAAGCACCTCTCCTTTGCTTCCCATGCCATATGAGGGGAAATTCTTCAGAATGATGCTTCTGGTCTCTATCTACATCTTCTCAGGGGCTGCTCTCAGGACAAAAGGAGGCAACTATCTGGTGATCAGTCCCACTTGGTTGCTGGGGGAACACATACTCTGCTCTCGAGGCTGTCAGTGTTACAGAGGGAGGTGCCCCTGAAGGTCATTGACACAAAGCCACAAAAAGTTACCCATATACCCTTGTAATGAAGGTGACATTTTAATGTCCCATTATTACTCCTTTAACTCTGGAAAAGTTCTCAATTCAAGGTGGGTGAAGAGTCAGCATCTTCTGGCCTCCAAAACCCAGGCACCTCTTTCCACATTTTCCCCCAGACTTAAAAAGACCAGTGATCGGTAGTCTTTTTTCCACTCTTTTACAGCAGAAAAACTATAGAATTTGAGCACCAAGTGACTTATCAGGGGTCACTTGATAAGTCAATTCAAGCACTTAAAATGGAAAAGTCAGATCCTCCAACAGATGTCACTTCAAGTGCACTAACTTCCATTTGAAATATTGGGAGGGGTACTGAAAATTGGAATTTTTTTTTTTTTTTTTTTTTTTTTTTTTTTGCCATGTAAGAGGACTATTCTATTCTACCTGGAATGGAAACACTATGTACAGTGCTCACCCACCCTACTTTTTTCATAAAAATCTAAGGATGAAGGAGGAGAGGAACTGGGAACAAGAAGAAAAACTCTTCTCTGGCTTGGGGGAATCAGGCATTTATATATTTCATTCATGAAACAATTATTGTGGAGGTCCTAAGTGCCAGGCACTGCTCTTAGATGAAAACAAAACTGTCCCTTATGAGTCTACATTTTTCTTCTTCCTGTATAATACTGCAATCTCTTTCTCTCAGATAAGGTCTTATCAGTCACATGGTCACAACTGTCCACACAGTCTGGCCATGGAGAATGGATGACTGTAGTTCCTGCATGCTACCTTCTACCTTCTATCTAGGGGTCCTATTTCTCCATTAAAAAAAAAAAAGACAATACATGCCAATATAATCCCAATCCAATACAGACCATAAAGTGGTACCCTGTTTTGTGGTTGGAAAACACACTTTTCAGATGCTCAGCTGCCCATAAATGCAAAACAAAGCATAGGTCACAATAAGGCTAGGGACCATAAGTAGGATGTTCTTAAATTCGGAAATGAAAATATAACCCAGGGAAGCCATAAAACAATAAACAAACGGCACATCTTTTTCATCTTAAATACAAAGCTTCAGATTCAGCAATATGAAAGAGTGTCCTACTTGCAATTAACACTTTTACAAGTTCAAGTTTACTTAAGAGAAAGGTTACACATTATAAAATCCTTCTAATTTGTTACTAATTAGAAAGACTGGCAGGCATGAATTAGTGAAAATTTGAGATACAAAACACGTGCCAAATACTATGACATTTTCTAAGGAGAGGGTGTACACGCAACACTTCCTGAGAATCTTGATGCTAGGGACCCTCCTATTAGACCTTTCATTTATTTAATTCAATTCTCACAATGTTCCCAGGAAGTAAACAATAGTGAGCCCATTTTTATTCCAGATGTGGAAACTAAAGCTCAGGTGGTAAGTAACAGTTTCTGTATTTCCTCCTCCAGTTCCTCTAGCAAAATTCCTTATTCTCTGAATCAGTGTTTCTCAAGGGGTTTGGGTAAAGTGGTCATTATGGTCTTGGCCTGGAAACTTTGTATGGGATTATCAAGCACTGCGGGACATTTAGCATTGCCAGCTCACCGGCACAAAATACAAACAGCAGCTCCCAATAGCAGTTTCTACACATCTCAGATGTGTCCTAGAAGAACAATGCCATCCTCAACAGCAGAGGAAAACCACAGCTCTGCTTCTTTGAACATCATGACAAAAGATTGAAGGGAGGAGTTTTTCCTTTAAAAGTTCCCCCTATCATCAAATATCTCAGAAGTCCCTGTTTAGGCTAAGAAAGCCTCAGATACTATTCTGGAGCCAGTTATAAAAGCTCCATAAATATATGTATTGCCATGTAATCTGCAAGAATTTTTTGAGTACTCAAGATGGGCCAGGTCCTATGCTATTGGGCAGGAAGATGAAATCAAAGAGCATATGGTCTCTACCTGCCAAGGGCTTAGAGTCTTGTGAGAGATTAAGTATGGTAAATACTAGGGTAGATATAAGCATGGGTGGGTATTAAGGAAGCAACGGGAAGGTAGAGAGACAGGGAGGACTGCAACAGGTTCCCAAAGGAAGAGAAGCTTTTCTTAAACCTTGCAAGATGACATGGGAGGAGCCAGGAAGGTCCCAGTCCCTGCTGAGAAAACTGCCTCTGCAAAGACCAGAGACAGGAATCACATTTTCAACAAAGCTTAAAACACTTCCTTCATTTTTTAAGTTCAGAGCTCATTGTGATTCAGAACCAGGATCTCCTGTTTACTAGATAGGCACTTCAGCCAAATAAGTCACTAGAAAATAAAGCAAAGTCTCTGTATTCCACACATACTTCTTTTCAGAGCTTATTTTGGTAAGGTCTGGCTCCACTGGTATGATTACCCATTAGACAAGAAATATGAGTAATTCTATACTTCTTACAGTGATCAGTAAATTGTCTTCAAGAACACGGTGGACTGAGGTGGGGTTGTGCCTCAGCCATAGAGTACTCGCCTAGCACATGTGCGGCTCTGGGTTGGATCCTGATCCTCAGCACCACATAAAAATAAACAATTTTTTTTAAAAAAGGTATGCGTCCAACTACAACTTAAAAAAAAATAACACAGTGGACTGCCAACAAGTGGGAGTATCCCTCACTTGGGGACACAAGAGAAGCAAAAAGATTATAATCAATGTCATCTGATGAGTGAGTGGAAGGGTTCCAGTAGGTCAACCGTACTACCCTTGGTCTCAAGCTCAAAATGAACTCTACCTCGACTTTTTGTTTTCGAGGTATCTGAAATCTTGTCTCCTTAATCAGATGTCACAATGCAAAAAGACAAATTCTTGCCCTGTTTTTATGTTTGCACAGAAAAGACAAACTAGAAAAGTCTTTGGTTATTTTTTTAATGGCAGATCAATCTATCTCGGTATCTAAGAGAGGGAAAGAAAGAAGCTCATTTTTGTTGATATGGTTGGAAAAGCAGGTAGCGGCCAGCTGAGGATCTCTGAACCTGAGACAGCTTATAGGTAGTAGTTTCCCGAGTTCATGGGTTCTGAGTACAGGAGCTGGGTTGTTGCTACTTTAGGTTGTTAAGACAGTAATTATAAGGAAAGCAAGAGTCAGGTTATATCAATTGCTCTCTCCTGGGACAGGAAGGGGAGGCAGAAGCAAGTAAGCCCATGTGGTTGCTTCTTGTCTCTAGTCTATAAGGAACAGGCTCATTTCCCCTTGGCAAGGAGCCTGCTGTTGCTGGCAGACATGCCCTCTTTTTCCTACCTCAGTTCCCCTCTGTAGAAGCACAAGTCTGGTGGTGAAGGTAGGCTCCCACTTAGATCCTTGATTTTATCACTTTATCATTCAGGCACACTTTGACCCTTAATTTGACATCAGAAACCCTTCTGGTCCACGTGTGTCTCCTCTCCCCCAGAAAGTACTATCAATAAGAAAGCCCTTGTTCCAAAGTAAATGAACCTGAGATGAAGAACTGGAATCCCTTCAAAATCACCTGACTCTACTTTTAACCAGGAAGTTCAAAGGAGGCAGAGCTGTGCAATTAGCAAGTCCAAAGTTCAAAATTAATTGGGGGAGGGGGGGAGAGGAAGGTGGTCTCCAAGGCTTTCCAAAGAGGCGGGTTGTCTTCCTCCAGTTCCCCCACCCCAGGCTGATTCCACTTCGTTTCTGTAAACTTTACTAATCCCTGGAGAGCTGTATAAACACTGACAGGTGTAGGGACACCTTCACCCTCTGGGTACATCTGCTGCGCTGTTGCTGGGTACACTGGGTGCATGGCCCTTGACCCAATCGCAGTCCAAGCTTCCCGATGACGCACCTGGTCAGGGTCCTCTCCCACGTTTGGGGGGACAAAGTGAGCATCCCCAGTCCAGGGGACACCCAGTCTGTCTTGACAGGAGTGGGCAGGATAAAAGGGCACCTTGGGGCTGAAACCTCATGCCGAACTCCCCGGCTTTCCCTCCATTTCCAGCATATCGTTTTGAATTAGGGGCACTCTTCTCTTCACCTCCTACCCTAAAGTCCTGCTCACCCAGAGTCTCTCCAAAGCAAGACAATAATGCGCCTTCCGGCCTTCCTCGCTCAGGTGAGTGCCAAGTGGTGTAGGAGGAAGGGGCCCACTCTCCACCACCCCCTTTTTTCGCCTCCCCACGATCGCCGAGCTTCAGCAGGGATGTGTGGATTGGGGTGCGCGGGTTAAGAGGGAGCTTAAAATGCCCCAAGCGTCCCTTACCTTCCACAGCCATTCTCTCAGAGCTTCCCTAACGCATGCATAATTTTCTTGGCCGAGGTACTCCTCCTGCCCCGCGCTCCCCCCCTCCTCTCGCTTTCGCCTAAATATTCTGCGCTCATCTGCTCCAGGACCAACCTGCCGCGGTCACGCAAAGCAAGCAGCCGGCTCCCTGCTCCGCGCAGGGCGGCTGGGAAGTGTAGTCCCCTTCCTTAGCCGCGATCCCGAGACACCCCGAGTCCCCGCGGAGCGCGGCTTGCGGCCACACTCGGACGGCAGCTTGGGCATCAGCGGGTTCGGACCAAGCAATCTCTCCTAGGGGACTCGTTAAGAGGACAGGGTACCGCGGAGCCTCGGGAGGTGGCTGGACTACATCTCCCAAGATGCCATGCTTCCTTCTTTCGGTGCTAAGAGGAGGGATCGGTGATTGAGACCTTCCCTGTCATTAGGAGCGCCTAGGCACCTGGCCCCCACGCTGCTCTAGGCAGAGGGCCGCCGAGTTGCGATATGCTCTGGTCCCTGGTCCACTCGTTTTGGGGGGCGAGTAGAGCCACCGGCTGTCTGGGGTGCTCCACCTGAGCCACAGACCTGCTGCACAGGATGCGGTTGAAACTTGTTCCTCTGGACCCGGGGATGTGTGGGGTTTGTGGGGAATCCCGCCAGGTCCAACAGCGGTCTTCTAATGCTCCAGGGTGGTTCTGGAGGCTAAATACTTATCATAGGCGTGGGTGAATGCGGGAGTGGCCTAAAAATACCCAATAGACAGCATCCCCAAGGGAGTATTAGGAGCAAAACCTAGGAGCCAGGATTCCATTGAAGGACATCTGAACAAGAAAACCTCCCTGGCTACTGAGGTGTGTGAGGCTTTCACCCTCCCCGGCCTGGGAGTCTGTTGGTGGCCAGGGATAGGGTCTAATAATAGTGCCCAAGAATTAGTGTTCTTTTGACTTCTGAACCTATGCTCTACCTTCAGGAGCTGGTGATGCTATAAGAAGAAAGGATACGGGGAATCATGTAGATGGCAATATAATTCCAGAGCTGGTAAATATTGGAAAAAAAAATTAAGTTCCCAAACTTTTTTTCTGCTGCATGAGGAAATACAGATGCAGTTATGACTGGAAGGAGTAAGGAAATGATCATGAAAACAGTCTGATTTAGGATTGGATTAAGACTTTAAAGGCTTGGAGCTCAGAAATTTCTGGTACTTCGATCACCCAAACCTTAGCACCATTGCCCACCCTCCCCCTTTTTAACCCTGCTCTGCAAAATAACTCCAAAGAAGTACAAAGACCAGATTCCATGATGACTACTTAGACTTTTGTCTGTCTTAGAAAAATTCTAAAAGAAATTTTTTCATAATAGTTTTGTTTGAGAGTGTATGGCACACCTGTTTCTCTGGCCACTATTTACTCACTTAGTCCTGTTGGCTAGCATGACTGTATAGAGAATAGGTACTTTTAAAACTACCTGCATGTAATTATTAAATACCCTTGATGATACTTTAATCTGAGTTCATGGAACTGTGTACAAATCAAACCTCAGGCTTCCATCCTAGGTACAATAGAGAGATCTGTCCAAAAAGACAAACTTTCCATTGAAAAGAATTGTTGGATTTAATATACAGCTACATATTCTAAAACCTGGAAAGTGCTGAAACCCAATGCTTTCCTCCTGCCTCCTGCATATAGTCATCAAAGTGTTAAGTCTTTCTTTAGACTTAATAGATGGAAAGCAGAGCCATATGTTTTAGTTATATTTTTTGCTGCTGTGACTAAAAGACTGACCAGGACAATTTTAGGGGAGGAAAAGTCTAGGTAGGGGCTCAAGGTTTCAGGGTTCAAGCTGAGGCTGAACATCATAGTGGAAGAGTGTGGCAGAGGGAAGTGGCTCACATAATAATCAGTAGCAGAGAGAAAGAGAAAGAGAGAGAGACTCTTCTGGCCAAATATAAAATATATACCGCAACAGCACACTTCTGGTAACCCACCTCCTCTAGCCATATCCTACCCACCACCAGTTACCACTCATTGAATCCCATCAGGGGATTAATTCACTAATTGGGTTAAGGCTCTCAAAACCCAATCATTTCTTCTCTAAACCTTCATTCATTGTCTCACACATGAGCTTTTGGGGCACACTTCACATCTGAACCATAACACCACACTATAGGCAATGTCAGTGGTTCTCAACATTGGCTGTACAAATATATCTCTATTTTTCACACCTTAGGGGTTTGGGTAGAAGCACTTAAGTTTTAAAAGTCCACAGGTGATTCTAATCTTCAGCAAAGCTGAAAATCATTGTTCAAGCTCTTAAATATCTGAGTGATATTAAATGTATAAGTCACTGAAATTTATTGCTAATGCAAAAACTTTGTTTGCCTAAGTCTTTAATAACTTTCCCAACTGATGTGTGTGCCTGTTGAATTTTTAGTATAAACATAAATAGGATGTGAATGAAATATTAGTTTGAACCACGTGAAGCAGGCTGTTTGACTATTTTAAACTAATAACCAGTGTGGTTTCTTGTGCTTCAAACTAATAAATGATAAGCAGCAGTTAAGCAGAGGTTTCTGATTCTAGTGGAATATTTATTAAAATCACCTGGGATACTTTTGAAAAAATTGCAGTTCTCAATAAAATGGCCAAAATAAAAAGACAGGAAATACCAATTCCTGTTAAGACCATGAAGCAGTAAGGACTCATATTGCTGCTGGTGTGTAAATAGATGCAACCTCTTTGGAACAACTCTTGACATATTAAGCTCAACACATCCTCTTGTCTCATGACCTAGCAATTCTACTTTTACATGTATGCTGTGTTCTCTAAAAGACACATATAAGAACGTTTATGGCTGCATTGTTTTTATATTTCCCAAGTGGGAAACAACCCAAATATTCATCAATAATAGATTAGATAAATAAATCATGATATAACCAAATAGTCCTAAAGAGCAGGAGTCAATAAAATGTTGCCGCTATGACCACTAGGCACCACCTATTTAAGAGCTAAGTGTGATTTACATTTTTAAATGTTGGGAGAAAAAGCATAATATTTTGCAACACCTGGAATTTATATACAAGTAAGTACATGATGTCTTCAGTTTTTCTTCTTCACCTACAAAGCATAAAGTGCCATCCCTCAATGTTACCATATTAATGAGAAGCAGGTTCCTCAGGAGGAGGGAATTAGACAAGACTTTGAATACAGAAAGTAGGGGACCCTGGTAGCCATCTTAGAGGCTGCATACAAGCAGAATGTTGAGTGAAAAAAAACCAGACAAAAAAGCATATATTATAGTGCTTCCATTTATATGAAGTTTAAAAACCAGACAGAGCTAATTGATACCATTAGAAATCGGTATAGTAGTTCCCATACTATGGAAAGGGAATTTCAGGGAAGAACAGCAAGCTCTGGAAGCATGCCTCACAGGGACACATGCGATGGTGTCCTTGGTTGTTATGCGATTTACAAACATGTATATTGTTTGTGAGCACATACTGAGCTATATACATATGATTTGTGCAAGTTTATTTGTGCATTAGAGCCCAACAAAATTTTGAAAAGGAATAAATGCTTAAATTCCATGAGATATGATAAATGATCCATTTACCATCCACTCTTTAATTTTCTGTACCTTCTCGGGTTCTTTCTTTGCCAGAAAAGTGGCAGTTCCATTCAATTTCATTTAACAAGTGTGTTTGGGGGACCTACTATTAGCCAGGTATTCATCTAGGTACTTGGTATATATGGTAGACTACATCTCTAGAAGAAGGTCTAAAAATTTACACCACATCAGTTGATCTTTTAAAAAGTAAATTATTTGGGTTGGCCTAAAATTATCATATCTTCCCTTAGAACCAGAGATCTTTCTCCAGCTGGTAGCAGAAAATGATGGTAAAAGAGGAACTACAAAAAATCCTAGGCATGAGAAGTAATCAGCACTCTTTACTCCTTAAAAATGAAGGAAGCAAAATGTATGATATGTCAAGATCATTGTAATGTTTTGAGCAACTAATAAATGTTTTTTTTTTTAAAAAAATGAAGGGAGCAACATGAGAAGGGATGCACTTGGCCACTGAGGTAGCAGAAGCATTGGTTCTGTGGGTATCAGGAGCTGGATTCTGCCAACAACATGAATGAGCCTGTAAGAGAATCCTTCCCCAGATGCTTCAGATAAGAGTCTATGTAAATCAATGGATGTGTAACTGATGTGATTCTGCAATTTGTATACGGGGTAAAAATGGGAGTTCATAACCCACTTGAATCAAAGTGTGAAATATGATATATCAAGAACTATGTAATGTTTTGAACAACCAACAATAAAAAATTTAAAAAAAAAAAGAGTCTAAGCCAGCTGACGCCTTGATTTAGGTTTTGTATACACTTAGCAGAGAACCCTGATGAGCCCTCCCAGATGTCTGAGTTCCAGGACTAGGAGCTAACAAAGAGCCATCATTTTAGGTTGCTAACTTTGTGATAATTTGTTATGCAGCAATAGAAATGAATACAGGACACATCCTGTACAAAACAGACTGTAATCCTGGCCATATTTTTGTGGGTTGAGACAGTTAAAAACAATGATAATATTAATAATACCAATATTGACCAAGTAAATCAGATTCTGTGTGTAGAACTTCCACTCCCCAGATTTCTCTCTCTTTTTTCAAGTTCTTCAAGTGTTTATAATCTTCTATTTTGCAAAATCGTTATTAAGAGAGCGCAATGCCTGGTAAGAAGAGACACATTTGACATTTCTCTCTCGTGTGTTCTAGTAAGCTCTCACTGAATCTTGTCATGTTCCTTTGCAACACGCCTCTTGAATGAAGGCTTCTCCGTTCTCTCTGCCACCATCCTGTGGAAGTCAGACAGACCTGGATTCAGTGCCTGGTCCCGGTGAGAATGAGTTACTTCTCCCTGGATATGGTATTTGAAAGCATCAAGCATGTTTCCACAATTATAATTGGCAGTGAAGATTCTCATATTGTAATGTTTTGAGCAACTAATAAAAAAATTAAAAAAAAAATAAAGGATGCAACATGAGAAGGGATGCACTTGGTGTTTTTGTTAGCCAGCTTCTCACTGCTGTTGACAAGTCCCTAAGAAAAACAAAGGAGAAAGATTTATTTTGGCTCACGGTTTCAGAGGTTTCAGTCCAAGGT